TGGGCATTCAAGCCATGTAACACTCACATGGAGCTAATATTATTTTGCATATAAATATAGGGAAACATGAAAAAAATCATGAAAAAACAATAAATGTAAGATTGTCGTTACCTTTAAGCAATATATATATAAAACAGAATTAGGACACCAAAAGGATCATTAGTGTTCAATTAAAAATACCCACATCTGGAGCAAATATAGCAAAATTTAGAGTTACCAAAGTGGGATAAGGTATTCCATCTTGCTTTCTTTTTAAAATGTTTATTGGTACCTATTTGCAGTATATTATCTCTTTCTAATGAAGAAAAGATTACTACAGCAGCTGTCTTAGTTACCTTTCCTGTTGCTAAGACAAAATACCTGACACACAGTTTAAAGGGGAAAAGGTTTACTTAGCTCACAATTTGTAGAGGTTTCAGTCCATAATCTGCTGGCTCCAAGGTAGGGTGGCATGGCAGACAGACATCACAGAGAAGAAACAGTTGATGGTAGGCAGAAGATAGCAAAAGCAAGAGGAGATGACCACAGCTCTTTCTATCCCTTGTATTTTACCCAGGCTACCTAGGGTGTGTAGAACTCATACCTTTAATTTTAGGACCCCTGATTCTAGCTTTGAACCATGAATCAACTCCTGCATCACACACTCTAGATCCAGCCACCTCTGAAAAAGCCCCACCTATGACTGCATGAGGCTTTGGGGGGACATGCAAACACAAGCCATAACAGTAGACAATATGAAAGATGGACTAGAGAGGTGAAAAAGCAAAATGTAAACAAAGAGGGAAATAGAATATTTTGAAATCCAGTGAGAAGTAACAAGTAATGATAATGAAGATAAAAAGGTAGGGAACAGGAAAAGAGTAGACCTGAGAGATGTTTAGAAAATAACATGAGCCAGGTTAGGTGACAGATTAGATACATGAAATGCAAAGAGAAATTTTGAATTCAATGTCACTCCTCCTTAAAATAGGAAAGTAGAAGGACAAAGTTTCATTAAACAGGAAATTTCTTTTCAGGATCTGTTGAGTTTGAAGGACCCATTCAATATTTAGGTGGAACAGCCAGTAGACCCCATTCCTAATCAAGTATAAAATAGGAAGCAATATAACAAAATGGTTAGAACCACAGACGCAGGAAATAGGTATCTGAATTCAAACTCAAGTTCAACCACTTAAACACTGATTGAAAGCCTCATCCATATCTATAAAAAGGGAAAAGGTTAATAAAATACTGTAACTATTTCCACTGTATTTTCTGAAAATGAAATCAGATAATGCTTGTCAAATTCTGAGCAAACTATTGAAATAGACTATTCAATAAATGCCTATTTATGAATTTTCTTTCTTATAGCATATATTTCTCACACATACATCACATAGGACTCTTCAGGGATTCCACCTTCATTCATGATGTATTTATTTGTATAAATTATACTGTTATTTATATAGAGAGATTTTTAACTAATTTTCAAGACGCTAGTAAATATCATATCTTATTTATAACTGCTGAGTAATCTGACTTAAACATAATTTTCCCACTCAAGAATACACCCTGAAAATAGTAATTGTGAGATCTAGACCCATTTCCCACAGAATTCTACTAAATATATTCAAATTAGTAAAAAGTATACAAGACACTTGCCAGACCCTCAGAGAAAAACACACATAAGGCCAAAATAGTTCTAACCAAAATTACAGTCAATACATGTTTCACTAGCAAATAAGTATAATGCACTGTAATAAATGCTAAAATAGGGGATTATACTGGTGCTATAGATGGCAGACAAAAGGAATGGTCCCAAAAATTTGAGTAGATAAAATATCTGATATGAAACATAAGGGGAAATTAACAGAGTAAGGCAGAGAAACGAGAGTTGGATTTTTTTTTAAACTACCTTTTATAAAGGCAGGAAAAATTTTGTTCTAATACCCAGAATTAGAAAATAAAACTGTTAAAGAAGTTGAAAATTTTAGTTTACACAAAGTAAACTAAAAATGCAAAGTACTTCAAATGCAAAAATGAAGTACTAAAATAGGAAGCTGATAAAATATCCACAAGAGGAAGCTTTTCTGATTTTAAAGAGAAAAGAACAGAAACAAAATAACAAAAACAAAGACAAAAACAACACAAAAACTATAAAAATGATACAGAATTTCAACACAAGATGACTGGAAATCAACAATGATTGTTGTATTACTTATTGTTATCAAAGTAGTTGCTCAGATTACCAGATATAGGCATGAAAGATTGATTAAACAATTAAACTGTTCCTTTCAATAAACCAATAGAAATCAGTAGTACAATTAGCTATCTTGTGTGTGTGTATATATATATTTCCCTTCCTTCTTTCTTCTTTCTCTCATCCCAGTTGTTTTTTCCTATTAAGCAGTTTTTTATGAGGAACCTTTTAAATCACACTCTTACAATTAAATGAGATAATGTTTAAAGGTGCTTACCACAGTCCCAGTACAAAATAAGTATGCTCTAATTGTTAAATATTATTCACATATATATCCAATACCGTTCTCTCTTTTTTTTTTTTTTTAACAAAATCTGGTAATACAACTGCCAAGAAATCATTAGCACTTACTCTTCCTTGGTTCATCTCCAGAAAAAGAGTACATACTTATCCATGGCTGTGTGTGGGGAATTGGTTTAAGGACTCCTTGTGGACACTAAAACCTGCAGATGTTCAAGTAACTTACATAAAATGACATAGCATTTGCACATAACCTGTGCACATCTTCTTGCATGATTTAAATCATTTCTAAATTACCTTTCGTATCTAATACAATGAACGTTAGCTAAACAGCTGCAATATTATTTAGAGAACAATGACAAGAAAAATGTCTCCAAATGTTCTATACAGATGCAAATTTCTTTTTTGAATATGTCTGATTTGCAGTTGGTTGAACCCAAGAAAGCAGAACCCAGTATCTACAGTACTGGTTAAATGTCTTAGAATCTGTTCTTTCATTAGTGAAATGGGAATAGTATACCAATCTTCGAGGCTTACTGTAAGGGATAAACAGGGTGCAGGGTTCCTGAAAGAGTAACAGAAATCCCCCAAAATGATTCCTACTGAGATAAGAAGATAAGTCAGAAAACTGGGATTTTTTAGTTCAGGGTTATACAACAGAAATACCTTAGAAATAAAGTAATCTTAGCACTAAATCCATAAGAGGGTAAGACGCATTCACCTTATAATGCTACACAATTTTATAATGAGAAAATCAACATCAGTTGGATAATGTGTATACTTTTCTCCAAATATATGCTTTTTCCAAAAAAGGAGAAAATAACCATCTAAAATTCGCTCATACCATCTTTAAAATTTTTTGAGAAAGAAATTGTAAATACCACTGCTCTAGAAGAATTAGTCTCATGTTAGATATTTCTTTCTAAATACTTTAAGGACAGTAATTAGAAAGCTTTTCTATTTCACATAATACTGTTCTGATTTAAAACTCAGGAATAATGAATTCTGGATTAGTAATGTTTTTGGAATGTTGGCTTTTGCAAAAGAAAAATAACAAATTCTTTCAGTACCTTAACTAAGACAATCTATCATAATTTGATTTATATTCAGCCTTAAAGTAACACATGTAGGAATTAAAAAAAGGCACTCTGTATAAATTTTATACTATGTAATGTTTGTTGGGTTTTAATTTGTCTTACTGACCATCTAAAACACTTATTTCTACTTACTTCTTTCTAATTACCTCATTCAGTAGCAGCTAAACTCTAAGAAACTTTATTGATATTAATATCACTTTGGCAATAAAATATAGTATATTTGATAAAGGTAGTATAGGATCAAGCTATAGTATTTCTTTACATAGCAAAGAAAATTATACCTGGAATAAACTAAATAATCTTGAAGTATTTTTCATTCTTTTATGTAATTATTATCAGATCATAAGTAAACTGAAGGTGAAGCTAAATTTCCTAAGATTAAGAAAGCTCAAGAGTATAAAAAATTTATTTTAGGATTTTCCAATAAGAAATCCTTTAATAACACTGGGACAAATCCAAATGAGATTAAGAATATGCTTTAAACTTCTTACAGAGGTGGTTTTTGGAAACAGTTACTATTCTAGAAAGAAGAAAACAGCAACAATATAGTCTTAGGCCCATAAATGTATTCATTTCTTAGGATCTGTTACCAAAATCCTCAGATGTTTAATTCTCTCAAATAAAATGGTGCAGTATTTGCATACAAACTACACACACTCCCTCATATACTTTAAATCATCTCTATTATAATACTTGATGCAATGTAAGTGCTATATAAATAGGTTTTACACTGCACTTTTGAGGGAATGACAAGTTCAGTACATATGGAGTTCATTTTCAAAAAATTTTCAAATACATTTGGTTGAATCCACATATGTAGAACTCACGAATAGAGAGGGCTGTTGTACAACTAAGTATTTTTACTTTAGGTTCATATAAATATACTCAATGACCTCTCAGTTGCCCCAACTCATCTAGACTTCTTGATGTTAAACTTTCAATTGTATTACAGGTTTTCCCTATTAGACTACAGTATGTCAAGTACACATCTGAATTCTCCTATCCATTATTTACCATATAAAAATGTCAACGAATGAATGGAAATATACTGAAAATCTCATAAATAAATGTGCAAAAAAGACCTCAGAATTACTGAAAGAGCAAATCTTATTTTCAATCTTGAAATACAAAAGGCAAACTCCATTAAAGAGCTTAATTTTAACTATTTAATGACTATGCATGTAAAATCAATTTGTTATTTCTCTGCCATCCAATTCTTAAGAAAAAGGTCAATGCAGGAAAAAATAAGCAAACTAATTTAACATTACATTTCAACTCCAAGTCATCATTGAGTTTGGCTAATCAATTAAATTTCTTTTGTAAAGACTAACTAAATATATTATTCAGCTCACAGCTGTTAGATGTGTACATCTTTGTTCATCTAAAATAACATTTTTAAAGAATCTCTTATAGTAAAAACCTACCTTTGAGGTTCTCTGAAGTTGATCACCAACGTATGTTTTACGAAATTGATCCAAGAACCAGAGAATTGCAAGCTCTATTTTCTCATTAGAACATTGAGGCAATCCAGTATCCATTAAAGATATAAGCTGAAAAACTCTTTTCATGAAGGGAAAAAAATGCTTCAGTACAAATTCTTGGAGAAACAAAATTAAAATACTTGTCATAAATATATAACCACTGTAAAAAGCGAAAAAACAAAAACATACAAATTTTTCAAATGTTTTTAAATCATCCAAAATTCTACCTCTGGAAGATACTATAATTTGGTCTAATTCTTTTTAGTTTTTTTTTCTAAGACATATACATATATGAATACAATCTTATATACAAACAGATATTTTACTTAAAATTTAAACATACAAATAGCAAATACATAAATACAGAATATATACATAGATGTAAATAAATATATGCATGTATTTTTAGTAAAAGTACCATTAATTTACATTTCTAAATAATTAAATATTTTAGGATCATATAACTCAAAATTCAAAAGAAAATCACAAACTATACCCATCATGTTACAACACTGTCTTAATGAATCATAAATTTTTACCTAAAAAAATCAAGTAATCTTAATAAAAATTAAACATTCCAACACTATTAGCTATTATTAGTTATCATAAAATCATAAATTTTCTAATTATTATTAGAAAATCATAAATGATATGAAGCATAAATCAAATAATTCAATCTAGCAAAAAGCCCAGTCTTAAATTTCTAAAAAAAATCCTTCAACATTATCTATTTTCATTAAAATTTTCTGGTGGGTAGCTGCCAAGTGCTTTGCACTAGCAAAGTCAGAACATTACACTAATATTTTAAGAGATAGAAGTAAAGATTGTGGAAGAAGCAAGCTCCCTTTTTAATTTGCACAAAAGCAGCTGTGCCTAGCCCTGACCCACCTCATTCCTTCTAGGGATGTGTGCTTGAAAACATAAACATTGTTAATACTTTGTGGTTAAAGACAGTCAAAGGTAGTTAAAGATACCAGGTGAAAACTGTAATATATATAGTCTTATAAAATATATTCTTATAATATAGGTATAGAAGACTCTATGTTCTCCAAACCCTTTTAATGTACACACAAAGTACATCTTGTGTATGGTTCAAAGCAGTTTTTTCCACTTTACAATGTTTCTTAAAAGATCTTTCCATGTCAGACATAAAGAGTTTCCTCAATCTCTTTTGCAACTGATAACATTCCATTATATAGAGTTTAGCATATATTTCCAAATATTCCCTTACTGACTGACACTAAGGCTGTTTATAGTTTTTTTTCCTGTGACAAAAATGCTGCAATTAATAATCTTGTATGTATTTCACACATGTACTTTTACAATATACATTTCTAAATAGCAACCTAGTAGCTCAATGTACATGCTTTTACAATTTTAATAGCTATTTTAAAATTGCCCTTCATAGAAATTAAAACAATTAGCCGTACCATGAGTCCACAACAGTATCCTGTATATATACACACAGAACGTCATTCCTGATATTATGAAATTTTAGTATTACTGGAAATCTGAAAAATGGGCTGGCATCTCTCTGTAGGATAATTTGTTTCTCTGATGTATGTGAGGATCTGTATGTCCTTTTTTGCAATCTGTTCATATCTTTCGCTGGTCTTTTCCTATCAGATTGTCCTTTATTACTGATTTCTCCAATCCTTTACACACTAGGGAACTGAACTCTGCCTATATTTGACCTTTGAAACAATTTTTATTTTTTGATAGTCTCTTAATTTTCATTATGGTCTTAAAAAAATTCTACGTGGAAGTTGTTGTTGTTGTTTGCTCATGTACAAAATTTTTATCCTTTTTTTCTTTTATAGATTTTCCATAATAGTAAGATCTCATCTGAATCTGAAGTTTTAATTTTATTTATTGCATTCCTTTTTTTTTTCCATTTTGTCAGTACTGGGGATTGACCCGAAGGCCTTCTCACTGAGCCACATCCTTAGGCCTTTTTTTTGAGACAGTCTTGCTAAATCACTAAGGCTGGGCTCTAATGTAAAATCCTCTTGAACTGGTAGGAATATAGGTGTGCCACCAAATCTGATTTTACTTCATTTTCTTTTTACACCTACCTATATGATACATTTGGATTTATTTTTAATATACAGTTTGAGACAAAGATCTAATATTTTTTCAGATGGCTATCTGTTTGCTTCACTATCATTTCTTTCTTGTATAGTCTATCTTTGTTCACCACTTTGAAATAACTGTTTTCATATGTACTAGATTAACTTAAGCAGATTGATTATTAGCTTTATTCTTTTCCATGATGGATCTCACTAAATATCTCAGTCTATTTTATTTTCTTCATAGTATTATTTTAATGGTTGTGTATTAAGGCTATGTCAAATGTAATGATACCATTTTGAATATAAACTCTTATTTCTAAATGAAACATAACTATTATCATTTCCTATACCCACAAATTCATCTAAAAACAAAATTTGCCACAGCATAAGCACTTTTTAAAAAAATGGTACATATTGTCTGTGTTAAGAACATATATTTTGACAATCATTTTATACTTTATTTTCTGTTTATGTTACTGTTTCTGTTTATGTTAAATTTTCTGTTTATGTTAAATTTTCTGTTTATGTTATGTTTTTTCAAGTACCTTTTACCTACTAAATATCTTCAATACCAGTACAATTTATGAAAGAGAACTTGCTGAAGAATTAGGTCTAAAGATTAAATTACTGTAACCATGTGTGGGTTATTTTTCTAGGGATATGTCTTTATCCTTTAATTTTGCGAGGAACAAAGCTGACTTTTAAAGTCTGTGTATTAGTCAATTAGCAGATTGTCAATATAATTTTAAATTAAATAGATACATACATCATACTTCATCTCGATCCAGGTGATTTGTCAAGTGACTTAAAGAAGATATATCTTGCTTTTAAATTCTTTATTGAGTAGGACCTCCCTTCTACTCAAGTTCTTTGTTGATTTTATGTACTTTCTGTTACTCTTATTTCCTTTTTAGAGTACAAATTCCCAAATCCAATGAAGCTCAGTGAAATCAAAATAGTTTGTTGGGGCGCCTTTACAACTCATATTAAGCTGGTAATTTGTATTCGCCTAAGAAGTAATGATATCCCAGTAGGACAGTAGGAAAGAATTCCAAGTAAGGTATAAGATCCATCTGTCAAAGAAGGTTTCATAGTTGTACAGGTTCAGTTGCAAGTGCGTGAAATCCAAAATAACAACTGCTTAAGCAATACAGGTGTTTATTTTCTCCCAAGCAAAAATCCAAGTCAGTGCTCCAGGGCTGGTTGGTACTCCTTGGTGTATCAGAGGCTTGGGTTCATTGTATCTTGTTGTTACACGTGCCTGCATAGTCACTTTATGGTCTAAGATGGCTTCTTCTTCTACCCATTCATTCTACAGATGATGCACATACCACATTCCCGTACATCCAATGGCACAGAACAGACTCCTAGACAATCTAGTAAGTGTAATCTCTATTAATAGTAGGCATTTGCCCAGCAAGACAATCAGGTCTTAAAATAAAAAAGAAGAATAAGGGTAAACAATTAGCAGTCTCTGCTACACAATGCTCCAAAGATTTGTAAGTCACCTCTGACAACTGCTTAAGACCACTGCAGTGTGCACACATGTGTGCACACACGCGTGCACACACACACACTATAAATAAATGGATATCATCAGTTTATTTATTATTTGTATTTCAAGTTTAATAAATATCCATTAAGTCAACAAATATTTAAAGGTCTACTATATGCCAAATGTATATTAGGTGTTCACAATACAACCAGAAGCAAGACACACATATATACTCAACCCTCTAAAAATCTATGACCTATTAAGGGAAAAATGATTAAAAAGGCAATTAGAATAAAGAATTACAAGTTCTATAGTAAATGTCATACAGAAAACAGAAAGTATTACTAATCATGGGATGAAATCAGGCAAAGAGACCATTACAATTTAAATCCAAGTATCTCCTAAAAGTCTAGGTTCAGAGGTGGGGCCTCATCAGATGGGGCAGATCGCATAAGATGTGACCTGAAAGGGTGCACTCTTGTCCCTGGCACCTCCCTTTACCCTCAGCTTCCTGGCTGCCATTGATCGACCAGCTCTCCTCTACCAAGCCCGTGTGCCATGCTTTTTCTGCCCTGGAGCCAACCAACCATGCACTGAATCCTCTGAAATGTGAATCAAAATAAATCTCTCCTTTAAGTTGCCCATGTTGTGTATTTTGTCCCAGTGACTGAAAAGTGACTAATACAGAAAAGGGATACTGGGAGTGAGGCTGTTGCTAACACTGTATCTGAGCACGGAGACAGTAAAGACCAGGCTCATGAGGTTCTGGTAGGAATGAAGACTGTATCGGAAACTGGACTAAAGTCCATGAATGTTACATTCTGGCCACGAATATGTCTTTATTTTGTCCACGCCCCAAGACTTTATTGAGGCTGAATTTAAAGAAAGGGAAGAGAAAGGGGTTGTAAAATGAATCAAGATGTGATACATCTGTATGTACCAATTCCCCACAATGAATGTATTTATTAAGTATCATAAACATATACTAATAAAAAAAGGAAGAAGTAAAAAATAAACATACAACCAAAATAAATAAAGATGGCAGACTAATTGATCTGGTGGAGAAAATTTCAAGGCAGCCCAATATTCATGTTGTCCCTTGTACACTGCTGGGTGCTTTCTGCCAGCTTTACAGTAAGAATCAGGAGAAAAAAAGTAGAACTCTGTGATTTGAAAAGTTTCCTGTTTCATTAGAAAGGAAGTACCTGCAAAGTTGGGGTCAAAGAGAGCACATTGTTGAAAAGATTAAAAAGAGGTCAATTAGTTTGCATCAAGATAATAGGGAAGATGACTTGAAGGAATCTCAGGAATTGGCCAGATGCCACTCACTGAAGCCCAAATGCATAAAACAATAAATTTGTTTGAAAGACTGCTTTCAGAAGAGACTCCCAGGGTACACTGCTTATTCAGTCACCTAGGGAAGTGTTTCTCTAAGTACAGCCATCCAAGCACTGAGAGGCCTCTGCAGTCATGGCTGAAGGAGGCCATTCTATTGCAGACCATGGTCCAAAGGAGCCTGGCTGTTGCTCAAGCATGTGGCAGACCTTGGTGTCATCCATTAGGTACTGTTTTTTCAGGCATGTAGAATGCTAGAATTGTGGGGCTGGGGAGACACTGACCCAAATTTCAAAGGAAGTACTGGGAGACCAGGCAATGTCCCCTTGGGAAAGCAATGTGTAAAGGTGTACAGTGATGTAAAACGTGCAGTGGAGACCCTGGTAAGCTGGAGATGCTAGGAATGTGGAATGTCTGCTGAGAAAAACTGCAGGCAGCAAGCAAGCCTACACAACATGTGGGATTCAAGGCTGTAGGGGCAGTACTACGCTCAAGCCCTTTGGAGTTCACATCTCACCACAACTTGCCCTGAGTTTTGTACATGGAGCTGCAAGATTTAATGTTTACCTGATGACTTTAATCTTGCTTTGGTCTCATTCCTTTCTAGCCTCTATTCCTCCCTTGTGAAATAAGAATGTATACTCAGTGCACTGTATGTTGCAAGTATTTAAGTTTCTTTTAGATTTTTAAAGGGGCTCACAGCTAAGAGCTTGTCTCAGAAAGACTCTGGACTTGGACTTTTCAGCAATGCTGGAAAAGTTAAGACTCTGGTTAACTGTTAGAGATGCACTCAATACATTTTTGCATAATGAGATGGACATGGGCCTTTTCAGGGGTTGGGGAGGAATGCTATAGTTTAGAACTAAACACCCGCAGAGTCTCATGCTCAGAGGTGACCTGGAGGAGTATATCCTTGTTCCCTGCTCCTCTCTTTTCTAAGATTCCTGGCTGCCACGTATCAAGCAGCTTTCCTTTACCATGCCCTTCTGCAATGCTGTTTCTGCCTTGAAGACAGCCAACCAAGTCTCATGTGAGACTTGAGACAAACAACAACAACAACAATAAATCCTTTCCTCTTTAAATTGTAAGTGTTAGGTATTTTGTCCTAGAAATGGGAAAGTGACTAATACAGAGACAATGTCAAGAAGCAGCATATGGTTCCATTTAAAGAAGGAAGAAAAACTGGCTCATTTATGAACTGAAAAATACTATAGTTTTCAGTCAGTAACAGGAGATAAGGCTAATGAGAAAGGCAGAAGTCAGATCATGAAGAGCCTGATAAGCCACTATGATTTTAATCTACAGAAAAAAAAACCATAAGAAGCAATGGAATGTCATTTCAGAGAAAGGAAAGCAATAAAATAATCAAATCTGTACTGGAGAAAGATTACTCTGGCTACAAAGAGGAAGCAAGAATCCATTTACAAGCTGAATCCCTAGTCCAGATAAAAGATGACAGGAACTAAACTGACAGAGGAGATAGAAGTAAGTGGGATAAGTACAAGGTACATTTGATGGGATCTGATGAGTATATGAATGCTGGGGAAAGAAAAAAAGGAAATATTAAGGATGACTTTCATGATCAGGCTTGGGCAACTGAGTGAATCACAGTAAGATGACACATGAAAAGAGACAGGGCTAGGAGAGGACAGAAAAGATGAGTTTAATTATTCTAACTGGTAAATATGTGCCTGTTTTTATTCCCTACTATGAAACTTCTTAGGAAGCAGTACCAGTATATACATTCCTACTTAATGATGGAAAGTTTAAAAAATGAAAAGAATACTTAACTTCCATTTTTCTAAATATGCAATGTTATCTTAAAAAGTGATACAAAGGTAAATTTTTCATTTGATTAAAATTAAAACATTTTTTAAAACTGCTAAGAACTTATATTTTCAAGGAATTTAATCTGATTTAGGAAATAAAACTTCAAAAAACTAAAAGTACATATATTAAGGTTCAAATTTTATTAAAATATGTTTTAAAGATTGGAAAGGGCATGAATTACAAAGAAAATTTTTATTCAGAATTATAGTAAGTTTATTAAACACTTAGGAATATATTTCAAAATAATAATGATGGATAATATTACAGCTACATATAATAGTTTTAAGGACTTATCAGGATGATAGTGGTGCAACAATATACTTCTAGGACCAACAGAATAGCCTGGAAAAAGACGAGAATTCTGTGTAAGGTGTAAGTGGTATTTCAAATGACTGGAAGGAGGAGTTCGCCTGAATTAATTAACATTTTCAATAGAAAAACATTAAGATGTTCAATATATACTGAGCTATTATAAGTAAAAGATAATCACAGAAGAAAATCAAATAAATGACATAAATAAATATATATAAAAATCATAAAGAAATACAAATGGTGAAAACAGGAATAGAAAAGATTGTTTAACACCACTAGAACTGAAGAAATACAAATTAAAACAAGACATTTGTTAACTACAACTAGCAAATATATATGTGTATATATATCCTGTTATCTAAAGATGTAACTGCTGAAAAACAAGTAACTCTCAAAGTCTTTTGAGTATGGAGGATAAATAGATACAGACTGCATATCCCTTATCTGAAATGCTTATAAACAGAACAATTTCAGATTTCAAGAATTGTTTTGATATTTGGATATTTGGATAGACTTTTCTGTTTAAATATCCCTAATGTGAAAATCCAAAATCCAAAGGCTTCAAAATTCAAAACTTTTTAGCTTCATGTTGGAACTCAAAGTTTCAGATTTGGGAGCATTTTGGATCTAGGGTTATCAGATTATGCATGCTCAATAGGTACAACTTTTCCAAACGATCACATGGTAATATGAACTTTAGGCCTTCAAAACACTACATATGTCTGACCAGATACAGAGCTTTTACAAATAAACTCTAATAAAATTCTTTCAATTTACATAAAGATGGTTAAGACAATATTCATTTGAAGGCAATTCAGAATAAGGAAGTACTGAGAACCTAAAATTCTGAAAGGAAAGATCTAGTTAATGTATGGCACAACTTGGAATATTTCACATCTAGGCTAAATATTCATAATATGATACTACATTTGATTTTAAAAGGATGTGTGTGTAATACATTACTTATTATTTGTATACTATTGGCCAACCATTGTTCTAAGAATTAAAAAAAAAAAAACCTAGTTAACCATTTGATTCTTGCAACAGCCCAAAATGATTCAGGTATAATTTCCATTTTAGTTTACAAAACAATATAATCATAATTTTTGTATTAATAAAAGCTTATCAAAACACATTTGGTATACACATATATCCACACAAATTAAAAAGATTTAAAGAGTCTACGAAAACAAAAGTAGTAATCACCAAATTAATATAAAATTTTTTATTTTCATTTAATTTTTAAGTCTTCAATAATAACATTCACAACTCCATAATAAGGAATAATATTATTAAAAATAAAATATGGAAGATCAACTCATTTGTTATATTTGTATGTAGCAATGTTCTTGAGTTTAGAATAGAAGCATACAGAGAATATTCAACTGCTTCTTAAATAAGGCTGTGGTCATTACGTGAAAAATTCAGTGAAAAATCATAATGAAAGTTTGTATTGAATTGACTACCTACTACATTTGATGTGTATCAACCCAATTTTGCCACCATTCTAAACAACCAAATCAGATTCTAAACAATATAAAGGAAACTAAATCTCCAGGGCATCATTTGCACAAATGAGTAAAACATACTTAAGCCTATCACTGGGGATTAAACTTCTAAAATAAAACTCTAAGCATTGGTTTTTCTCATCAACCAAGAAAACTAACTCCTCATCAAATGAAAAAAGGAAATACCTTTCTCAAAAGGTCACATAAAAATATAGTTCTTTAGCTTATAATACTAATAACTAAATTTCTTTATAACTACATAAATTTCTGTGAATTACATGACTGTTACTTACCGACAGGATAATTCTCCATCCATAACATCATGTTCATCTGTACTGGTATACGTTAGTCTTCCTCCTACAACAGTCCCAACTAAGTATACCAGCCATGCAAGACGACCTACATAATATATAACGAGAAAGAAATATACTTAAGAGTATTGATATGAATAAGCTTATTTTCAGAAAATTCCAAAATTAGCAAAATGATCTATTCTTCCAAATAGTGACAAGCTATTGTGAACACAGTTCTTGACAGAAAGTGGAGAATAGGTTTTAAGTTCATCAAGAAAGTATAATAGATGCATCATGTCAGGGTACAGGCTGAAATGCTTGTAAGATGCTTGAAAGATGCTAACCAAGATCAGCAAGTACTCAGAAAACAGTGATTGGCATGGGGCACCAAACATAGGAAGGCAATTTGAAGCAGCCACCTAACAGATGAATTCCAGTATCAGGGCCACTTCTTGATCCCAGCACTGCTAATCTAGCAAACACATTGCCTTGGGAAAAGATCTAACCCCGTGAGGAAAGAAGTCAAGTGCAGCAGCAGCAGCCATGCTGATGCAAATGATGCCCATCCAGTGCCCACTTGTCGTACCTTTATTCCCACTGGAAAACAGAGTCCAGTTAGTGAGATATGCTGGAAAGGACCTCCTCAGATCAAGGGATGAAGAAAAGCCCAAAATGAATTACACAGAAGTAGTGACTGAATTAGGATGGCAAACCCTTGGGACCAAAGAAATATGGACCCAGCAGTAGGTATTGAGAGATCTCAAGGACAGTGAGTCACAGGGCATGCAGCAGCTATGACCAAAGCGATCTGGGGTAAAGAAAAGCCACTGGAGTAGTGCCAAAGTAGGCACTTTTCCACTCACCCCCCAAAAGCTGTTAACCTCAGGGTCACACATATTACATTCACCACCCACCTGCCAAACACTCCAGAACTAGGTGGGCCCCCATGTGCGATTCCTCCCCTCACTCACCAAAAGCTGTGAGCTCTGTCCCACGGTCCCACTAAAGCTACTGAATCAAAGCAGAAGGGTCCTCTCTTATCCTTAACTGCCACTGATTTTTCAGGCTGGATAGAGACCATGAAATATGAACAGAGAAGTTTGATGTGGGCAGACAGAAAGATGGAGAGGAGAGACGTGGTAAGAAAGGTTGCATATCACATTCACCCAGCTACGCATAGTAAGAACTGACAAAAACACCTTAGGGATTACTATGGAGGGAAGGGGACAGACACCAAGAATGTCCCTCCAAAGATCAGTAGAAGACTGAGTCCTTGATCAGTCCCACCATGCCCTTCCTACTTCCGACACGATTTCAGGTGCCTGATTATAAGACAAGAAAATGTTCCAGCTATTCATGCCCACAGGAGTGCAGATAAAACTTAACAAAGCTCTGCGTACACAGGGAATAAAAAACAGTCTCGGTGTCAATCTAGACCTCCCAGTCTCTTTACTGACTGGTAGGCAAGTGAGTAAGTTGTTGGAGGAGAACCACTCAAATACCATTTGACACACCAAAATCAGGGGATTGGAGCTGATTCCCCAGCAAATGCTACAAGACAAGATCTCTCCATTTTTTATGTAAACTGGATGAACACATTGGCCCAATTTTGATGATACATAGGACTGAGATTATTCTTTGTGTGTGTGTGTGTGTGTGTGTGTGTGTGTGTGTGTGTGTGTTTTCCTTTCAACTGGTGTGGGGCAATGTTTATATATGTGAAATGCAGACTAAGAATTCATTATTGCTTTAGGTTTTACAGCATCTTTCATGTCAGGTTAACCTTCACCAAAGGTTGCATATTGAGGATTCAAACACAAACTTTCTATCAGCATATTTAATTGGTTCCAACCTTCTTTCAACTTCCCTCATCCCCAATTATACTTCCCTTCCCCTTCTCTTTTCCTCCCCCAGCAAATAACCTTTCAACTGTCCATTTCCCCACCTCCATTCCACATACAAAAATAAATAACCAATATCCTATCTCTTTTCTTTCATTTCTGATATCTCTTTTTCTGTTCTTTCCTTCTTTCTCAAGTACTTTTTTCCTTTTCTTGCTCTTATCTCTTTTCCTCATCCTCTATATCACTGCCCAATCATCAATACTTTTGCATCATCTTCCCACAGTTATTGATAAAAGGGTATAATTTTTAAAACATTTTAAATTATATGACTGATACGTGGTTGGTCCTGCAGATACTGATATAACTGATAGTTGATCTCTCCTTACAGTGCAGTCACAGTGACTGATCCTATTATGCGGAGTAAGCTGAATATGTGCATGAACACCAAAACAACTAAAAACAAGGTCACATCACAGGGAGACATATACTGAAGATCTCCACAGTAGTGAAAGAATTTTATACCTTATCTTCAACTCTCAATACAAAAACATGGAAACAAGAGAAAACAAGGCAACAAGATGCCTCCAAAAACTCTCAAGAGTCCCAAACACTCATCCTATGGGAACTGTAGTAAAGGAAGGTCGAGGCAAACAACTCAAAACCCACATAATTAAAATGTAGAGATCAAAGAAGAAATAAGTAAATGCATGAGATGGCCAGTGAACTCAAATAGGATTTAAATAAACAGATAAATGATTTAATAAATATTCAACAATGTTACACAAAAAGCTGACTGAATTAAAGAAGACAATGCAAGACATGAACGTCCAGTTTAGTAAATTAAGAGATTGTGAAAAGGAATCAAGCAGAAATCCTGGATATGAAAAAGTCAATTCAAAGTATGGGCAGTAATATTAACCAATCTGAGGAGAGACTGTCAGGACTTGAAGATAAGATTGATGTAGTATATTATTATGGTTTGGGTCTAGATGGCCCCCAAAATCTAATGCAGTCATAGGGCTTTTTCAGAGTGATGCTGAGATTAAGGGTGTGTGATTAGTAAATCAGTTCACTGAATGGTCTGGCATAATTTTGGCTAGGACTAAGAGTGTGAGTGCTACACCAGCCCTAAGGTGGGTAGCCTGCATACAACATAAGGGACAGAAAGAGCCTTGTCTCCACTTCCTTTGTTACTTTTGCTGCCTTGTAGGCATGATGAACTGTTCTCTGCCAAGCCACCTTACCTTGGAGTCTGCCAATTATGGACTGAAACCTCAATAAACTGTAATCTAACATAAACCTTTTCCCCTTTAATTTTAGGTGTCAGGTATTTTATCTCAGCAACAAGAAAAGTAACTAAGATAGAATTTGGTACCAGAAGTGCAGTTGTTGCTGTGACTATAATTGACCATGTGGTTCAGGATCCTTTGGGAATGGCTTGTGTGAAGAGTTTGGAAAGGTCTGGAGACCATGGTTGAAAAAGTAGCACTGAAATGCCTTAGCCTGTACTGTATGGGAGATTCTGGTCAGAATGACTAGAAAACTGGTAAAGACGAGGCTCAGGAGGTTTATGCTGCGAAGAAGGACTGTATTGGCTGCTGAACTCCAGATGATGTGTGTTATGCCATGGCAGAATGTTTCTTTGCATTCTGCATGTGTCCAGAGACTTTGCCTAAGACTGAGATTAAGGGAGGTGGACTAATTAATCTGGCAGAAAAAATTTCAAGGCAGTCTAAAGTTGAGGTAGAGGTATAGGTACTGTTGGGGGCTTTTTGCCAGATTTATGTTGAAAATCAAAAGCAAAGAGGCCATCAGAATGATGTATACAGTATAAGCTTGACCAGAAAGGAAGCTCCAATAAAGCTGCGGACTGCAAAGCTAGAACAGAAAAGATCTCGACTGCTGAGCAAGAAAAGGCAATTAGAAAAGATGGCCTGAATGCATCACAAGAAACAGCAGGACTCTCCCCCATTGCAGCCATAAAATTGCATAGTGAAAGACTTTATTTTGAGAGAAGAGTCCTAGAGCACCATGTTCCACAATGGCAGTAGCACAGGGAAATTGTTCCTTGGGATTTGGATCATAGGCACTCACCCATACAGCCCAAAGAAAAGGAAGTCCAGCTACAGCTGTAGCTGGCAGCAGACCTTGGCATCACCCATGGGGTGCTGGCTTTAGGTGCATGCACAATGCAAAAGTTGTGGGGTCAGGAAGGCTCCCACCCAGATTTCAGCAGAAGGCCTTTGAGACCAGGCAGTGTGCGCAAGAGGGCAGTGGATGAACTGTGAGTATGAAACCAAAGGGCAGTGGAGACAACAGAAGTTTGGAGAAACCAGGAATGTGGATCATCTGAGAACTCCAAGGAGGGAGCAGAGCAGGCCCAAGAGAGAAGCCATGGGAGCTACAACAACCGGAAGTACTGTAGGTGGGCAGCCACCCAAGCCCTTTGGAGTTCACAACTTGCCACAGATTGCTGGGGATGCTGAAAGTGGAACTGTGTGGGATTTAATGTTTGTTTTGCTGGATTTTAGATGTAGATTTGCTCCCATTCCTTTTTTAACCCTTATCTACACCTTTTGGAACTAGTAAAGCAAACAATTCAACATGAAGTGATAGCGATTGTAAGCATGTGCACTGAAAATCCATTCAGGCAATTTCATAAAACAACCACTACTGAACACGAAAGGACGAATAAACATCAATACAATTATAGTAGACCATTTTAGAGAAGTTTCACGTCCCTTCTTTCTGCTGTGGCCTTCTCCACGCCCACAATAAAGGCATTTTTTACTTTGTTCTGTTTTTATTTGCACCAAAAAACAGTAACATTTTGGTGCCGTGATTTGGATGCAGGCCTTGTAGCTCTACAAAGGGGGATTATCCTCCCTTTGGTTTGGGCTCCCCTGCCAACAAGCCACTTTTCCTTTTCTCCTTTGGCCTGGTATTTGCTGTTACAAGACGCCATCCAACACTAGCCAGTTCTGATTCTCACAGGTGAGCCTTCTTCCATTCCATGAGTTCCTGCCTCATTTTCTGAAAACCATGGGCCCACGTCAGGACTCCCTCTCTTCCTACATGTCCTTTGGGACACCCATCTGCCTCCTTGGTGATGACTAGGAAAACAGATTTGAGCATTTTATCCTTTCTCGCATCCCAGCAGGGCAACAATCCTCCCCAGGGTTTCGAGATCTGGCTGTTAAGCCTCTGGCTTGCCTTTTTATTTGGCCACAAAATGGGAAATACTAATTCTCACCCTCCAAAA